AGAACCAAAATCAAAGAACCAAGAACCAAGAACCAAGAACCAAAAATCAAGAACCAAAAACCAAAAACCAAGAAGTAAGAACCGAGAATCGGAAACCTATAAATGAGAAACATAAACTGAAACCCATGGACCGGTCAACATGTTTGCTGACAGACTTGCTTAAAAGCTGAATAAGTTGACTGATTGACGGATAAAGTAGCTGACTAGCTCTGTTTGGCATAGCAAATTGTCAGCTGGAAATAGCTAGCATAGCCAATAACACGAATGCTAATCAATGATGCAAAAAAGAGCCAAAATCTCCTCAATCAATTGCTAGTAATCTTATCGAGCATTTCATTTAAATTCAAGAACATTTGTATGTAAATTTTGAAGTCATTAGATCTTCATTTCATCAACAGCAATAATACTTTTAATATTTTACATAATTTTATTTCCATCCGATGTACGAGAAAAAAACTTTAAATTACATGAAATTCACATTAATTCCCTCCCCTAGTGTCGTTCCACCAAAAAGCATATCCACATTAAATCCACAATCAACATCATTTGACATCAATTCATTTCCATTCAATGAGGAAGCAAAAAAAAAAAACGTTTTTCTGCTTAGTTCTGTTCTTCTTGCGCTATTTCCTTTATCTCACCATCGTCATCATCATCATCATCATCTTACATTAGCATCAAATAAATTTCCAGCACTAAATGTCTGTGCATATATCTATAACACGCACATATACTCTTGTGTATGAGAAGAAAAAAAAAACGTTTTATATGAGAATTTCTTGCTCCTATCATTTATATTCTTAAATACATATAGACTCAACATTGAATCTCTTATCTCTCGTGTCATTAGCAGAAATTAGTAGCAAGCAACCGAGGAAGAAGAAATCAAATAAAACAGAAAAAAATAGGAATTTATTTTTTTTGCTGCTTGTGAAAAACATCAGAAAGGCATGGAAAATAAGAGGCGGAGATGAGAGGAGTTGAAGGAATTGTGATGGTTATTTCTAACGTGAAGGATTCTCTCTTTTTTTGAATATTATACTTGTGAGATCGGAACTTTAATTTGTAATATTTTTACTTTAATGTTAACGATTGAGTCAGAATTTTAAATATCTTTAAATATTGTTATACTAAAAGTCATGCCAGCACTTTTTCACCTAATGTGAACATCTGACGTTGGATCCTTTGTGTATAGATAGAATATATTATTTACTTAAATGTTTAATGGAATATTCCCTGGGTCAGATTTTAGGTTTTAAAATAGTTTCCTTATTTTACTTTATTAGACTCAAGACTGATCATTTTATGCTCATTATAGCTTGAACCGAGCTTCCAACTTTTATAAAGACACTCTTAAACAAACAAGGAACTTTAAAAAAAAACTGTAGAGCTTTAGAGAGCTTTAAATGGCTCTCTATAACTGGATTGGACATACATTAAGACGTACATCTGTTGAACCGGAGGCGGAACAACAGAACAAGAAGCTGCAGGAAATAGCAGCTTTGGCCCAGATACGAGTGCGATTCAAATGATTTGTGGACGTACTACACTTCATAGTCGAGCAATAGGAACCCATCATCATCAAATGGCTCTTAAAAGTCTCGATAGATCGTCCTAAGACTCAAGGATGGTTTGTAAAAATCCTAGGAGTTTCAGATGACTCTAAAAAGCTTCTTCAAGATTCCCTCTTCAATCATATTCAGATCAGATGCAATAGATTAAAATATCCTTCCTAGGTCTTGAAATCTTCCATATTCACTGAGAAATTTGAGACAATGCTTTGTAAAAACCTCACCTGTTACATAAAATTCTAAATTAACTTCAAAGTTTTCTGACTTCCACCAATTAAAAACTAATCTATATAATCCTCCATATCATCCCCACGATGATTTAATTAACTGCAAGATTTCCAGCTCGAAAGAAATGATCTCTTGATAATGACGACTAATTTCATTAAACAAGTCGAAGAAAGAAAGAAAGAAATAAAGAAGTTTGAAAGAATTTCACAAAAGAAGATTAAGCAAAACAGCAGCAGCATCAGATGAGAATGAAGGAAGAAAGAAAAAAAAATTCTCACAAAAGAATTTGCTTTCCTAATTTCATTTTATATGCTTTTTGTGGAGGGAGAATTTCTTTTTACATCTAACAATCAACCCACGGCATCACGCACAGAAAATTACTTTTTTCTTGCTATGTGCCACTTCCTTTCACTCTGCTTACTTTTCCTATTATCCACACTTTTATTCTCTTTCTCTGCTTTTCATTCATTTGCTTTTCATTCACATAAGTATAAAATTAAGATCGGAACGAGACGAAATCATAAGAAACGGGTGTGGAGGAGAGGCTGAGTACCAAAGTAGGAGGCAGAAATTCAATCACTTAAATTGAAAAAGGAAGAAAGAAAAAAACTTGCAAAACAAAAAAAGTCAAAACAGAAAAAAGTTTTCCACTTCCTCAAATCATCTCAATAAAGAATTGAGAAGCATGCAAGAATCATTGGAAGTGACAATCACTTCAATTTTGTAAAAGAGGAATGGAAAAAGTTTTCAGTGATGTTTATCAATCAATAAATCAATGTTATTATTTAAGCGAATGCTTAGGATTGAAAATATTTGAGACTTGAATTGTTTTAACTGTCATTTGGCAACTGTAGATTTGACTCGAAGAGTATATCTTTAGTAGATAGGCTTAAGCATAGAGGTCACGTTGAACTGGTTGTATGTTTATCAAGGATAACTTAAGTAAAATAAGTATACTGAAACTTGATCTTTATACTAGCTTTTTACCTAGTTAACCGTTACAAATGTGTTCAACTTGTTGCGTTTGATGTTCAACGAGATTCAGAACATCTGATTTTCAATTAATGTCCTGAGTGTGGTTGATTGACTTTATAATATGCTTCTGGCCAATGATAAATAATCTTATCAATTAATTAAGATTTAAACTGTAGCTATGATTTATAAAAAAGTTTGACTTAATGTGATTAAGATTTGAGGAATGATAAAGATCCAAAACTGATTAAAGAACAAAGCAAAAAAATTAATTTTACATCCAAAAGTCATCTTATATAATTAACTTCTTATTAAAAAAGCCAGCAACACTTACTTCTTAAGAAAACTTCATAAACAATCACAAACTTCAAGCCACAACTTTCTCAAGTATTACAAAAAATAATTTCTCAAATGTCAAACCTCAAAAAATGTTCCTCAAAAAAACTTTTGGGAAGAAATTTTTTAGTGCGGATGAAAAACTTTTCTCATTCAAAAAACTTTTTTCAAAAAAATGTGTAATGAAAACACGAAGAAGTGAGTAAAACTTAAAGATTTTTCACAATGTAAAACATCTTTGCCATTCATGAATACACACAAAAATGTGTTGGTGTAGTCACAACAAAGGCTTCTTCCACCTTCGTCGTTTATATTATCAACTTCCTCAATCCTTTTTCCACTCAATTGACATTCTTTGCTTATTTGCTGTGGAATTTATGGGCGAAAATTTCAGTTCTTGTGATGATGCTGGCACTCACACTTTTTGATTAATTTATAGACGTACATACACTAAAAGTTGATTTTTTCTTTCATTACCTCACAGATAAAGGAACAAGGTTTTTGCTTTAAATAATAACTTTTTGTAGTGAATTAAGATGGATTTATTAAAGTGATCACACTTATTTGGAATTAAGAATTTTTGGAATGTTTAGGAACTAATCAAAGGATGTATATGGGTCTAAAAAATTCAGCCACGCGTTCGCTTTCGATTTATTTATTGTTAAAGTTTTTATAAATCATTAAAACTTGCCAGAAAAAATGCCTTTGCTGGGACAGAAGCACACGTTTGTTACAGCGCCATATGTTGGAATCCGCAAGGGAAAAGACAACCAAGAGCTCCAAAAGCTACTTGGTGTAGAACAGTGATAAAACAATGCCACCTAAATGTGCAAACAGAGAATTGTACAACTTCTAGGTCACAAAGCCAGCAACAGAGTCAGATCAAAAGCTTCACATAGGCTTCACATCGGAACATGGTTACAGTAAATAAGTAAAGTATTAAAACTTCAACAAAGTCAAAACAAAGAACAAGCTCATATTTTAGTTTCTAAAGTCGAAAATCCTAAGTCTTATTAAAAAAAGTCGTATGTAACCAATCGGGATATACCAAATTTTTCAAGCATTTTCAAATAAAAATCTGTTCAAAAAAGTGGGACATAAAAGATTTTAGGCAGAACTTTGTTCAAGAAAGCGGGACCATCCCACTCACAAGTGCTCAGATGGATAGCCTATAATATAACAAGATATGCATTACTTCTAGTTTGATAAGCAGAAAATATTTTCTCGTGTCTTCTTCTGAGTGATCTTCACGCCTTGGAGCGTCTCAAGGGCAAATTAAAGTTTCCTTGCTTACACAGATTTGAGAGAAGTGAAGACATAAAGATTTCAGAGTGAGATTGGTGTCAATTTTGTGAGCTATGGAAGATTATTGTATTATTATGAGCTAGAATAAGTTATGGAGTAAGGAAGGATTTAGTCATCTTTACTTTTTTGCAATGCAGCTTTAAATAACTGTAATTCTGCGCCACCTCAATATCTATCGATTATGTTTGAGTTTTCAACATCACAATTTAACTTTAATCTTAAAATAATGTCAAATTTTTCGACAAAAAAAAAACAAAAATCACAGAAAAAAAACTCATAAGTAAGTTAGGTTTGACTTTTTTCCTCTCAATAAAGATTCTATTCTTCATCTTCTAATTTCCATAAGAAAAAGATAGAGAAAGCTATGGATAAACTTGGCGACCAGCAACAGCAGTCATGATGATGAAATTTAAAACGATTCTATCTTCTTGCTTTAATCCTCGCACAATTCAACTAGCTTTCGACGAGAATAAACTTTTATTCATCAGAGAAAAAAAAGACTTATGGAGTAAAAGTTAAGTTGTAGTCGAATGAGGATAGAAACATTTGACAATGTCTGAAACTAAATGATAACTTCATTAGGACTAAATGGATAGTAAAAGTGAAAATGTTGAACTTGTAAGTTTTGACCTTATTTTGGTGATGACCTAATAGCTTTTTGATGGTCATTTGGGATTTTTGGAAATAGTTTTTCGGATTCTTCTTTAGTTTTGAATTCCTTGAACTTACTGTGAAAATTGGATGTCTTCTGACACTTCATATCATTTTAAAGAACAACCTCTCCACCTTAACTCTTTTAAAAGCACCTCATTAACCACACCACTCATATATCACATCCCGACAAAAAGTCATTAAAAATTTACACAACAAAACATTTCATCTACACATGCTTAGACTTTAAATTGTATAGATGCAACTTAAGAGCGACTGAACTTGTTCATCACGTTCAGCAACAATTTTTCTTCTCGTTTTCATTCTCTTAACACTTTTTTTTGCATTCTCCTTTCGTACATTTGGTAAGTTACATGAGAAAGGGAACAAGCACTTGGATCTGTACACGAATATACAGTACATGTTTAATATTTCATGTCCAAATGGTGAATTTTGTAGTTGTTGGAGTTGTTTTTAATAAGATTTAAGTTTAAATGGGGATTGAGAATTGGGAAAATATTTATGGAAATTCTTAAGAATTTTCGATTAAAAATGAAGCAGTTCTAACTCAATTGACTATATAAATTCATACCAACCAGCCACTGTAATGAAATTTAATTCAAAATTCAATAAAAGTTTAACTTTGCATGCTAAAATTTCGCATAAGCTTCTTTAAAATTTAATCAAGCAGATTTAAATGCAATTGAGCCATGCAAAAGTTGCCCAAAAAACTTAAGACGATTTTGCTGTTGAAACTTCATGCTGTTTTATAAGTCCTGCATGTCAAGCAGAGAACTTCATGTTGAACTTAACAAATTTCTTTCGTTATTTTTTTTTGTGCAATTTCGTTTCTTGTTGCACTGTCAGACTCGCAATATTCTGCAAATTGAGGCGAAATGGAAACAGCAACAGTGGATTTGTGTACGGTAAACATGAAAACATGAGTCATTCAGTAAGTCACGAAACATTCTCCAGCTGTGGACCGTGAATTGCGACAAATTTTTTCGCTTGTTTTCTTCGACTCGTGACGGCTTACTTATGGAGTTTTATGTCAGCTACTTTTAAGCGAAGCTGAATTTTATGCATAAATTTTGTATCAAGTTGGGAATTTGGAAATGAAAAGATGGCATGCTCTGGTGGTTAATTCAAGTAATTTTGAGATTGTATATTTATAACATAATGATTTCTTATTTCTGCTCAAAAATCTCAAATCACCATTCCAACTGAAAAAAAAACAACTTCACATCCCCAATTCTTCGTCCACATCCCCCATCATCCATTAGCAATTTCAATTGAATTTTTGATTTGCGGTTCTTTTCAAATTTAATTTTTTTCTCTCTTTTCAGTTTTGACAAGGGTCAAGGATCCCCCGCAAACCATCAACAGCAGGCTTTTACCGAATCCTCTTTCATTTTTACACTAAATGACCTCCATTAAGCTTTCATTTTTTCTTTTGGTAAAAATATTGAAGAATTCTCATCCATTAGGCTCAATTTTATGGTGAGTTGAATGAGAATTTGATGAAATGGAAAATGTTTTAGATATGAGAGGTTTTAACCGATGGATGATGATGTAATCGTTCATTAGTGATGTCAAATCATTGCATGGAAGTTCAATAATGATAATAAAACTTAGATCAAATCAGTTTTAGCATAATTTTTGATCATTAGAGTCAGTTGGTAAACAATTCGGCTCCTACTTCATTGTTGCATGCTGACCTTGGGTTTTTGCTGGTTTTAACTTTGAAAAAGCGGGACAGACCAAAATTTGAAGGATTTTCAATGAAAACAAGTTGAAAAAGCGGTACATTAAGGATTTCAGCCTTCTGTTGCTTAAAATAAGATTGGTGGATATTCAACTAGGGCCAAGTAAAAGCATTCATATAATTAAGCGTTGCTTAAAGAATGTGAAGCAAGTTTTTAAGTGAAAGTTGGAATTTCATTGAGGCCGTTCACTTATGATACCCCCCAGGAAGGGGGGGGGGGGGGGTTAAGCAAGGTAAGAACAATAAAAATTCCTGGAAATCAATTGTTCTTTTTTTAAAAAAAAGGATCGTTAAATTCGGACGACCCTTGTGAGTTTTGTAAGATAAATTTCCCAAACTTGCTCATTTTTGGTGACCCAAAAATAAATTTTCGTTGTTATAAAAAAGCATTTTTTCCAAGAATTTCATGAAAGAAATCTATCGCAATTTCCATTTTGTCACAAAATAATACAAACAAATCAAGAAAAAAGCTATCGAAACTTCCATAATTACCCTCATACTCAACTTCCACAAGGCTTCACACCCCATTGATATTTGATACAATAATGGATTCTTATGCTGTACTTTTTAAAAAGCATGAAATTTTGTTTTGTGTAAACAAACATGAGAAGAACGGAAAATGAGGAAAAAGTAAGAAGTTGATGGAAAAATGAAGATTTGTTCAAGATTTTTTTGCAATGTCATGAAATTTGAGTAAGCACAGAAACTGACAAGAAAGTACTGACGTCATGTAGCATTAATTTCATGTTAAGGAAGTTTCTTGATACATCTTGAAATTTTCTGAGATTTTCAGATTATTTGGTGAAGAAGTCACGGGTTTGTCCATAGATAGCAACACAACTCACACTTCCATTAACTTCACCAACAATTTCCATTTTAAGTAAACAAAACAATAAAGTCAGCGCAGGAAAATTTGATATTCACATCATCATCATCAACATTCTCGCTTGTTGTGCAATTGAATTGATAACACAATGACTGACGACGTTCACTCATCCATCATGCAATAATGTTGTGTGCTCTGTTTGCGTACACATTATAATCATAACAGCAACCGACACAGAAGTGCACAGTGTAAACAAAACAAAAAGTTTTTTGAGAGATGTGAAAAAAGGGAAGAAGTTGTTTTTTGGTAAAGAAGGGAGGAGCACGGCAGCACACCTCAAGGGATATTCAAGATTGAGCTAACGCAAACATACAAATCATACAACGCACGTTCAATTTCATCCAAAATATTGATTATGGTGATGAGAGTGATTTTTTTAAAAGAAAATTGAAATTTAACACGAAGATGATTTTTATGTCATGGGAAAGGGGGTTGAATAGTGGTTTAAAGTACCGAAAATTTAAAGACTGAAAACCAAGATGTTTGAACTCTTTCACTTATTTTATGCAAAATAAATTTGAGAGATTGAGAAAGCCAAAGTCTGATTACAAAGCTGACCAAATATCAAGTGCATACCTTCTCGTGGTAACCCCTAAACCACTAAATGCACCGTTGGTGACCGAGCCCTGTGCCGCAATAAGTACTTAAAATGATAGATTAAAAGCTTATCCAAACAACCTCGCCTGTAGAGTGGCAACCCCACATTCAAACTAGCGATGGTGAGGTTTGAGTGAGGTTTACAATCAACCATTTTCGAAATCAACGTATACAAAACAAAGAAACATGAAAATAGACAGGCTTTATGGTCTGCAGCCCTAATTGCCTTTAATATGACATGTTATTTAGAATTAAGGTATTTTTCTTCATTGTACCTAGTTTTCCAAGGTTCTTCCTAAAATTGGGAGGAAACTAGTCCTATCTACGACTATAGTCTTCAAGGATCCAACGATCAACAAGGCCTCATTTTAAATATTCCAAAATTCTTGCTTAAACCTTTTCTTAAAAGCTATAGATTAAAAATATTCGAGTTTTGCAATATTTTCAATGCAAAATGTTTCCTGCCAATGAAAAAAAACCCCTTGAAGCTCATCAATTATCATCCTTGTCATCCCTGCATCCCTAACAAAACAAAGAGAAAGAAATAAAGAAAAAAAAAAGTTTCAAAAAAATCCCAAACAAGAGAATATTTTAAAGTGAATTTTGCGGTAATGCTCATCATGAAAATAAGAAGGATTATGATAATAATAATAGACAGAGACACAACATCCGCCATGCACACACCGTTTATCCATCTACTTCTTTTTATTATTATATTCCATATTTTTAATATTTAAAATAATAGCATCAGCATACAATGATGATTATGATTGGCGTGAGGAATTATAATAATTTTTAGAAAACAATGGATGTATTAATATAAAAGCAGTGCGACGGTTGCTGTAAGATGAAAATAGACAAGAGCTTAAAAAGAATTTTTTCCATCACATAATGAAAAGTGAATGAATATAAATTGCAAATGATGACGATGATGAATGTTGTTGTTGCTATTTGTTATCGTCTTTTATATTCTATGTTAAAAATGCTCGGTATTATGAGCTGACTCACCTTACAAGTGAGGGATAATATGGAATTTTTATTTAAGGGGAGAAATTAATTTTCATGTTTTGTTAAATTTTAAATTTAAATGAATTTTTTACTTTTAAATGATGAATGAAGATGAATGAATGCCAATTTAGGGAGGGCGTTTTTTGAGATTACTTGACTTAATTCGCTGGCCATACAGGTCAATTGTGATCTATGGTCTCCCTTGCCTGAAGATGGCGCCTGAAGCTGATTCTATCGCTGAGCTCCTGTTTGCAAATTTGTACATTAATTCTAGATCTTTGATTCTAGTCTAGATCCTTGATTCTAGTCAATATCCTTGATTCTAGTCTAGATCCTTGATTCTAGTCTAGATCCTTGATTCTAGTCTACATCCTTGTTTCTAGTCTAGATCATTGATTCTAGTCTAGATTCTTGATTCTATTCTAGATCCTTGATTCTTGTCTAGATCTTTGATTCTAGTCTTGATCTTTGATTCTAGTCTAAATCATTGATTCTAGTCTAGATCCTTGATTCTAGTCTAGATCCTTGATTCTAGTATAGATCTTTGATTCTAGTCTAGATCTTTGATTCTAGTCTAGATCTTTGATTCTTGTCTAGACCTTTGATTCTAGTCTAGATCTTTGATTCTAGTCTAGATCATTGATTCTAGTCTAGATTCTTGATTCTAGTATAGATTCTAGATCTTCGATGGTTCTATTAGCATGTCTGGTGATTTATCTATTGATTTTATTTTCCTAAAATTAATTTTCAGCTTCTGTTTATTACTATGTTAAATGATGATATCAGTAACTGTTAATAAGAAGTAGTTGACATCAGTTTACAGTCTTACATGAAAAATAAGGCTACTTATGGTTCAATGTAGGGAGCTAATTTAATGGGGATTAAACCATATAATTGAAATCATCACAATTTTAAAATCAAATTCAAATAGCTAATTATAGCTCTATAGTTTTCATAGCTTTCCAGTAACACTAGTAAAAAATAAATTTTAACCTTAAACGGACCAGCCTTTAATTGAAGACTTCTAAAGATAAATCATTTCTCACAATTAAATTAAGTTTTGTCATTCAGAAAATATAATTAATGTCATTTTTAGCTTATGCTTCATTAAATGAAGTCGATAAATTTGTATTCTCTTATTAAGTTGGTTTTATTGTTAACAAAACTTACAAAAACGCAAAATATTTCTTTAATAAGTCTTTCATTTTATCAAATAATTGAGCAGTTTTACTCAAAATATTCAAGAAGTATTGAAATTATAGATTTTGGTGGATCTCAAGATCAATTGGTGACTGAAATTGTTCTAAATTTAAATAATTTGATCACAGTGAATTTACAGAAGTCAGAAGATCCAAATTGGTCCAAAACTGTAACAAGTCAGTCGATTCTGCTGTTTGATAATTTTTCTGATCTAAATGAGTTCAATGAGAAAGATTTATTCAGAATTGAATACTTAAGTCCAATTAGAATTCTTGTTTATTGTCAAAATATAACACATTGGGATCTTGTAGACCTGAGAACTGATTTTGTGATTCCCCATTACTTCTACTTTATAGTTTCAAGCGAAAATGACAAAAACTTAAAACTTTTTACATTTGATAACCGCGATGACTTACTGATTTGTCATGAAATACAACAATTACAAGAAGTTAATGAATTTTCATTTCAAGAACAAAAATGGATGCGTCAACCAATATTACCAAAGAAGTACAAAAACTTTCATGGATGTGTCATGAAACTCGGAAATTATTTTAGACAAACAATATTTCTGAGATTTTATTACGATATTGATAAGGATTTCAGTTATGCCGATGGACCTCTTGTATGGATTCTTAAGGATATTCAAAAAAGTCTCAATTGTTCAATTGATCTTTCTATCTGCTTAAATAGTAGCTGTGAGGATGTATTAGCACATAGAACTCTATACAACGTAATACATAGCACAACACTCGAAGGCTATGCATATGCATTCAAATTATTTGAATTCAATATAAAATTTGTGGCGTTAAATATTCAGTGCATGTAAGTTTTGAAGTTCTAGAGATTCAGCTACAATCTACAATTCTTTATTTTAGATCAAAACTGTTCGTTCCACCTGGCGAGTTGTATACATCATTTGAGAAAATTGTCTTACCGTTTGATAGGAAAACATGGACAAGTTTTGGAATCACATTTCTAGCTGCTATCATATCTGTCGTCATGATAAACAGAATCGGTGTCCGAAAGTTTTTTCACAAAAAAACTATACACATTCCAGTTTTGAATATTTTTCGAGTATTTTTCGGCATTGGACAAACTAAAATGCCGAACAAAATGTTTGGACGTGTAATTTTGATTTCATTCATTTTTTGGTGCTTAGTAATGAGGACAGCTTATCAGGGAAAGTTGTTTGAATTTACAACATCTGCGATTCGTAAGCCTCAAATGAAGACTTTAGCTGAATTAAAAGCTAATAATTTTACACTTTATATGCAAGATGGAATTGCACAATTCACTTTTGATTACATTTCTGAGGATATTGGGTAAGCAGATTGACTCTTGTGCTGTTATACATTTTGAAGGTTTTAATTTTTATTTCTATTTTAAGGCTCAATATGCAGATAATTCCATTTGATAATTTCTCTAATTTTTATTACACAAATTTAACTGATCCATCATTCACTGGAACTGTCCTATCATGTGACATCGAACATGATTTACATCTGCACTATTTAAAGACTAAAATGGCTAAACGATTTGTTTCAGCTCCAATAACCAATTCGTTCTATGTATTTGGCTTCTTGTATCCAAATATATGGGACGAAAGACTCGCTGAAATTATTGAAGGACTTGTAACAGGTGGAATCATTAACTGGTATTTGGAAAAATACTCAAAATCTAAATGGAATGCAAAGACATGTACATCATCACCAAATAAAATTGTACTTAATTTAAGTCATCTTGGGTTTGGATTTGAGATCTGCTTTTATGTACTTTATATCGCTCATTTGGTATTTTGTATGGAAATAGTCGTTGGACTTTATAAGAAAACTTATTTTTTATCGAAAAAAATCGACATTAATGAAAACTTAACATTTGAAAATTTGGGTTTAGTTCCAAAAGCATGTGAAAAACAAGATATAGGAATCAGTGTGGATGATGTATTTGGAGATAAAATTGATTTTGTTTTAGAATATTTAGATAAATTTGAACAGCTTGTTAAGGAAACGAAAGTTCGATAAGAATTGATAATAAAATTCTCGAGCGACAGATATGTCAAAAGCTTTGATATGGATCCATCAAAGGGCAAGTAAGGTGCAAGCATGCTGAACTGAAGAATTACATTTTGATCAATTTCGATCAATTTTGGTCATTTTTGATCATTTCATCAGTACCACACCCTTGGTAAGGTGTGTCTTATCACTAGTCGAATTGATAAATATCATGTGAAAGAGCCTTTCAGCTGTTGTAAGTTTTGTTGCGTAGGTCTGGTGTTATCACAGACACTTTTATGTAATAAATAAAAACCGAAGAGTTTCATGCGTTGAGTATAGTTTAGAGGTTTTTGGCACATGAAGTGTCTCCTTAGCTAGGTATATGTACTAGTATATACTAGCATCTGGATGATTTTATTACAGCACCTTGCGCACACGAATTGTGATTTGGTACATTGTAGGGCACATCAGGTCTCATGACGTACTCGTGTCTTTTCAATGTGCAGTGCTTGCAAATGGTTCATGTTCCACTATAAACTGTAGGTCTAAAGGGTGCGGTACAAAAGATTCTGTTCTAATGTGAATCGCAGTGCCTCCAGCTAAAAAGACTGGGCCCACTCCATGCTTTAACAGTATCTTGGTACATAAGAAAGTTCTGTATGTCTATAAAAATTAAATTATAAATCAATTTAACCAAATAAATGAGAAAAATATGAGAAAAAAATTCCGCGCTTTATAAATTTCATTATTTTTGAACCATAAAAATTAAAAGCTTATTCATCCATTCATCCATTAATGATAATTCTCGGCTTATTTTCACATAGCTGTCTCATCTTTAATGATTATTGTTATTTTAATAATTATTATTCAAACAAAAACAAGTTGACTCTATAAATATTATTATTATTATGGTTGGAAGCAAAGGATTTTTATGAATAAATTTTATCCTGAATGGATGTGTACAATGGCAGATAGCATATAGGGGATGTGATCAGCTGGAGTTTTTAAATTATTTTAAATGCACCCAATCCATAGAACTTCCCAATTTTCTTATCTTTTTATCCATTCAAATTCGATAGAAAAATATTTATTCGACACTCGAATCCTATTATTCAAACAACTACTATATCATATGTAAAATGTCAAATTACAATCAAGGCAGGAAACAGCATCAATATTGTCATGTCAACGACATAAAAATAGATTATTCCATCCATTCGGCTTATATGAATATTATAAAATACGTTTCTTTTTTTTTCGGTACATACAGCACACAATATATGTCTGTGTTGCGGAACGATAAGCACGAATGTTATTGCCAAGTGAAAGGATAGAAATCAAGAGCAGACAGGAATGTTCGAATATACATATATGTGAATTTATCCTCACATCAACAACATCATATTCATAGTCATGAGTGTGGAGAAAAAGATGGTAAAAAAAACATACGGGATATAGAACTACAACAATACACAAAAAAGCGTGGAAATGAAAATTAAATTGAATTGTTTTCCTTTTTTTTCAGTGTGTGATTTTTTTATTAAAACGTTAAGTTTTTTTTAAAACAATTTATTGTTTTCCCGATCGGCACACATTGAAATTCGCTGAAATGTTTGCCACACGGCAGCCGGGTTAATAGAATAATCAGATCCGAGCAGAAGCTATTTAGCAATCAACTTGGCATCCACTTGGAAAGAGCTTACAAGGGGCTAAACCACTTGATACTAGTTGAACTATCAACCTGGCAACCGTGTGGCAAACATTTCAATGTGTGCTGATCGGGATTTTTTTTGTGATTTTAATTTTTGCTTCATAAAATCATGCGTCAAATTTTAAGGTTCCTTAATTTATTTTTATTCTCGGATCCTTGTGGATTCTCAAGCTCATACTCATTATGAGATCAATTTTGATGTATAACAAGTCTAATAAAATTGATATTTGGAAATAATGCCGTTTTAAAACCTGAAGTTCAACGGCATAATACCTAAAAATGGGACCTGCTTTATCCAGCCTCAGGAATTAGGACTTAATTAATTTTTTGGTGGACGCAATTGGACGTAATGTGGACTTAATTCTGACAAAGTTTCAAAGTGATTGGACACTTCATGCCGTCGTACTTCAGTCACTCCTCCCATGGACTCCAATTTGATACAATTATTATTTTACTATCGATTCATCCTTCTTTGGCTTTTGTGAAATTTTTTCTTGCAACTTTCTTGTTGATCCTTGTAGATTTTTTTTTTTGATACCTCCTTTATTAGATTTTTTTGATTCCTTTCTTACTAATGTGCTTTAAATCGTTCATCAATTCAGATTAATATTAAATTATCATTTCCCCTAATTATTTTAATTTTGTTTATAACCCCATCAATCATAATATTCCTCACAACTTATAAATTCATCCCTCTGTCAATCCTTCCATAAAATCAAAAATGACACAAAAAAATTAGAAAACAGCAACTTTCATTCAATTTCCACATTTTCTCCGTCATCATCTTCATTTCCTTCCTTTTTATGCTGCTCTAATATGAAATAATAATAATAATAATCATGAATCTTATTTGATAGAAATAGATGAACAAAGGCTCAATAGCATACATAAGAGATGTTAGATCTAGGGGAAGTAAAAATGATGACATGAGATGATGATATGCATGAATAGAATTAAATGAAATAATAAAAGGAAGTAAGTAAAAAGGAAATTGATCTAAAAGTAGCAGAACGTGTATTTTAAAGCTTACTTCGAACATATTTTCAACATCTGACGGCAGTAAAAAAATTAAAGTTAAATTTAAATTCATCACAAAAATAATGAAAGTGAGTAAATTCATACGAATACTTCATATGACAACCAATCAAAAAGGTATGACGGCAAAAATTAAACGAACAGCAAGTAAGATGATTTTATGCTTGTTTTATTATTGAAGCATTTTCTGGGTGCTTTTTGTTTGGAAGAGGAAAGGGTTTGGTGCAATAGATTCTTTACAAATTGAATCACAGTGCCTCCAGCTGAAAGGCTGAGCCCTTCACACATGATTATTATTATTTGGGAGAGGAATGTCTAAGTTCGATTTCTGGGATATTCTGGGGGATTTCAAGACGCAATTATTTTCCATTTTTGAAGTAAACCTAGAGAATAACTGGCTGGCCATTTTCTTGGTCTTGAGAATATCATTTTTCCAAAATAACAAAGTTTTTTTTTTGTTCTAATTCGTCCAGAAAACAAATAAAATTGGCAGTCACGCTGGGTGTCTTCTACTTTACTTTCAAGTTCTCTATTTTTCCAGAAGAAATGCCCAAATAATATATTTTAAGTATCGGACTCAATAGGAAATCACCAAATTGACTCCAAAAATTTTCATATTTCTATAAAATCTCATATCTAAAGAAAAAGTCACTAAACAGAAGGAGGAAGTGTCATGGCAGTATAAAACATGTCACACATCATAAGCTTTAATTAAAAAAAAATCTCAGTAACTGTGGCAACAATGTGTTTCTGTATGTTACATTATTTCCTACCTTTTTGTTATTGTAGGTTTTATAATAGCATTTACATAACAACATAAACTTCCTTCTATTGCCGTTGCTATTTGCTCCTTTCCGTAATGAATGTTTTGCACATTTGAAATGTGATTGTGTGTGTGTGAGTGTGAGGTGGGGATGGGGGGAGTCCAAAATCATCTAGGAGGTATTAATTTATTTAATTTTTTGAAATTAAAAACGCAACGTATCAAAAGTTATAATCTGACTCTCTAGCCTCCTAGCTTCGCCCCTGCGTCAAAACACATTAAAGCAAAGCAGAACAAAAAAAGTGAAAAATCCTTTTTCATGTAACATTTGAAACGTCAAACATTGACATGAATTGCGCCTTACTACCTGTGTATTGTAGCATAGAAAATGAAAATTTACATTTTTATCGCATTTTCCATCATTTCTGGGGTGTGCGAGTAAAAAAAAGAAAATATTCCGCTTACTTTTTCATGTTTGTTATTTTTATGCCACTTTTCATATGCTAAGGATCTACTTGAGCCATCTTATTGTTTGTAAAATTTCGTGTAAATGTTTGTAATCGCATTTACTTTTTTTTCTTGTGGTACACGGGAGCATGAGAGTACAAATCACAAAAAAAAGTAAAAAAGTCAGCGATTTTTTTCTCCTTCCATGGCAATGCCAATTAAGAGATGAATGCTGAATGTGAAATAATGAAAATTTATGTTTAGAATGTGGAATGCTGTATTTTTGGAATAAAATTATGAAAATCTGTACGAATTAAATTAAGAAATTCCTAACGGAATTAGAAATGCTGAAGGTGGAAAATTATTTTATTAAAAAGCGTAAGGTAGCTATTATTAGATGTAAAACAGATATTGGATATTTAGCAGTTTAGGTCAGTTCTATTCAGTTCTGAGCTTCTATATGAAAGAATTTTAGTCTTCGTCTTTAAGTTGATTCAAACTTAGGCCTAAAGATAACCATTTCATCTAAGTTATAAACTATGCTTATTAAGTTTCATAAGGCTTCTAGTGGCTTTATCTCTGCAATAATGAGATAAATAGACACTAAGGTTATAAGCTCTAGAACAGAAAGTTGAAAAAGAGTGGTTTACATATATTGGCAAATTGCCAGTTCCAATGGCAAAGCCCAATAGCTGGGTAGTCTGAGCACTCGACCGGCACTTGACCGGCAATGGCAAAGCCCAATAGTTTATTAGTCTGAACACTAGACCGGCAATCGAGAGGAGCAAGCGTAGATTCCCGCTTGGGATGAACCAATGGATGAATTGCACCAAGTTCAGTTTTGTACATTTCGGTTCAGTTCAGCTCAATTTATTATTTACAAGGTGTAAGGGAGTTTATATTACTCAAAAATTGTACAATTATAAGATTTAATCAAATGAATCAAATTCCATTCATTATAATTCAAACTTTTTTCTTTATTTTTTGAAGTAATAAAAATATTCGCCACACAAGCAATATTCAGCAATCAAAATTTACAACCCATAAGCATATTTTTCCCTAACAAAAAAA